GTCAAACGATAAACGGTAAGGCTCGCAGTCGTGCAACCACTAAGTCGAGCCATGAGGTATGAATCCCTCGATTCGCGAAAGTTGTCCACAGCCTATGGTTGGGACTGCCGAGAGACGGATTTTCAATCTCGGTGGTTTGGAACAATGACCAAACTTGGTCGCGCCGCTCCAAAGCTCCCGCTTACTCCTAGAGCAGTGAGTCATGCTTAGCTAGGCGTACCACTTTGACAGTATTCGCTGCTAGATTCAGATAACTTTAAACATTCCTAAGGGTCACTGAAGTCAACCCTCGCGGCTCACTTTATGGGGTCAACACACCTTTAAGTGCCGCGAAAAAGCTTCATGGAACTGAATTTCCGTCCAAATTCACCGAAAAAAATGTGCGGTGGAAAGAAAAATCTCCGAGTAGGACGTTTTATTCATTGCTAGCCATGAAAGAATCTTTCAAACTAACCATCATAATCAACTGCAGCTGGCCTGGTTCAACCAATTTTGGTTGTTTGCAGAGAACGATGACAGTTCCTGTAGTGTCAAGACCACGTCGACCTGCTCTACCAGCCATCTGAACAAGCCCAGTGCTTACTTGAAAATAAACTGCACGCTTATTTGCAAGGAATCCTTGCCATGTAGGAGGTGGATAGGTCCGCAGTCGTAGAAGTATGCCAATTTCATCAATCAAAAGTGCACTGAAATGAGCTGGAGGGGTGTGATTATTAGATGCTGTTTCGAACTAAACCCCTTATCGATGACCTGGGGCATTTGCGTCGATACCGAGGTTCAGTAGCAAAAAAAAGGAACAGCATTGTATCTGTCGCAGCTAGGTATAGAGAACATGTACACGTGAGAGGAAGCAGGCAGCGAGCGTATAGGCTATAGTTAGGCATTTGTCTAGCTGTGCGGCATACCCTATCTTAAATTTACTTGTCGGTGGAGTCTAAAACGGTATGTGGCTATCACTACACTTCAGCCCCATTTCAGCGCATTTTCAAGCGACGAAAGTAGCAAATTTCGACAGCCGCAGACCCTCCCACTTCGCACATGGCAAGGATAGGAATACTCTCAGGTGAGGGAGCAGCGTATCTAGGTGACGCAGCGATATCTTCAAGCCAACAGTGAAAACACCACACTGGAGAGTGACCACGCTTTTCAGTTGTATAGATCAACCTGTATCATTATTCTGCAGCATTAAGCGTTCTCAATTCCATGCCATCATGCTTCTGGATACTGTCGAATACTACAGTTCGTGCAGGCATGTTCACACCCATGGCGAAGGTTTCCGTAGCAAAGAGAATCTAGAATCGATGAGGATCAATGGCGCACCTCTCACAGTTATTTTCAAGAAAACGCCGCTAAGATGAGGGGGCATTCTGTACTATTGCCATCTTACTGAGACATGTAGACGCTTGTCAAGTATAAACGAAATTCATGCTATTGCTTAGCTTTGCAGGATTTGACAGGTATTCACAGGAGACATCGTCGGTGATCGTTGGGAACCAGCAAACCCCCATCAAGCCGAACTGCACCAAAAATCTTCCGAATAAGTAAACTCAAAACATACCTTAACATATCCTTTCTGGAATAGCAGTTCTACGACTTCCTTGAGAATTGGTAGAATTCCACTGTGGTGAACAGCAAATCCACGCATACAGAGCTCTTTCATTAAGTGGACCTCAAAGATGAACCGATAAAAAACGTCACCCAAACGACTTCCTTAGTCTGTCTCCTACAAAGGCACTTTTTGCGATTATTCGAAATGTGTGATCTCTTCAGCACACGGTGCGCAGGATTGCAGTTGTATAGAGTGCAGTGCTTTACCAGTTGATGAGCGCGCAGTTGATGAGCGGTGAAACTCGCTCGCTTGAACACTCACCCACCATTTCGTCCGAAATTTCCTTCCCGCATTCAATGTTTGTTCACTGTATTCTCACAGGTTGTTCAAAATTGAGGGCACAAGAGTTCCGTTCGGGGAATCCTGACGGTTCCTTCTGATTTTGTCTTTTTCGTTCAGTCATCTAGCGGTTTCCACACGAACTGTCTACACACTCCCAATCACGAAATGTATTGCTGAAGACCTGCGCGTCCAATAAAAGTCGAATTCATGACATATATAGTAAAACAGCGAAAGATATAGTCGAGTTCGCTGCGGACGAGGGGGCATGCCAGGCGGGATGAGCATGGCGCGGTGCCAAAACCGATCTCCACCAATGCTGAAGCGAGCAAGTGACAAGACTGTATCATGTCGTTCGTATCACTCGTTTCTACCAATTGTTGTCGCATACCCGCTTCAACAACTGGCAGAGAACGGGTTTGGCGCCGTGGCACACTCATGCTGCCTGACACGCCCCTTCATTCGCAACGAACTCGAGTATCTTCCTCATAGCTTTCACTACCTGAGGAAGCTTCTTGTCGGATCCTTTCAGACGACCAATACATTGCGCGAAGAACGTCTGAATATGAGATTTCTCCACCTCTGTCGTTAGATCCATTGAATTCAACAGTTGAGCGTTATCGTCACACATGAAACACCAACGTCATATGGAGGACTTATAGAATAGAA